ACAGACCCACACACAGGCACGCGCGCACACACACAAACACACACACACAGACACACACACACAGACACACACACACACACACACACACACAGGCACGCGCGCACAGACCCACGCACACAACACTCCAGAATTACCTTTTCTGGCCCTCCACACAAACTCCACGGCAATCTGGAACCGGTTTGATGACCCAGTCCCACAGTTCTGTCACACCAACGGCACCCCCAGGGGCAGGATTCTGGGGATTATCAGAGTCCGGTCAACACACAAAGTCAGTTAAGGACTTAGAGCACCCGCCAACCACCGAAGTCAGTTATAGTAAGAGTTTTACGGCACTTGCAACACAATAAGGTCATACAAGTGCCGAAGAATAGAGGTGTTTCAAGAGAGTAACGTACATAAAAAACAAGAGGAGGAGAGATAAGGAAGATAGATATTCGATAGCAAAGAAGGAGCAAACCACACCAGAGCACCCGCCAACCACCCACACACAAAGTCAGTGATCAGGATCGATAACAAAGGTCAAGAAATGACTTAAGTTAAACAGGCAGTGTCGACGCATGTTCCACGCTTCCCTGTGACCATACTGCAACGCAACAGTCACACATGAGCTCGCTGGGAAAGCAAAACCTGACGGAAAGCTGTGCCCTGACAAACCTGAAATTCTGCGTTCAGTCAGGGAAAAACGAGAAAAAGAACAAGAAGAGTCGGAATACTGACTTCGTGAGCTTGGAGTTGGATGGGGCGCCTGCAGAAGTTCAAGACTGAGTGGGAGGAGCAGAAGGCTATGGAATCAACCATTGCTTGGAACCGTCAGCATCTACACACTTCGAGATGTGCTTCTTCAGGGGACGGAGCGCTTATAGAGATGCCCCTTGTGCAGTGATGCCGGTCCTTCACACAAGTAACAAGTAACAAGTCACACATACACCACAAATCTTCTGCACAGACATTAACACATATACCAGGCATCTATACAACCACCACCTTACCCAAAGACATATTTATATATATTCATATATTTATATTTATATATATATACATATATTTATATTTATATATATATACATATATTTATATATATATACATATATTTTTATATATATATATATATATATATATATATATATATATATATATATATATATATATATATATATATATATATAAATATAAATATATTCGTCGCTTTCTCAAACATATATGCCTGATGTCGACACATGAATTACCTTATGCAAACAAATATGTAATACTTACACACCCATGTCCTTACAGAAACACACACCTTGCACCATCTTTACTTGTTTAAGTAAGGATAAAAGTGTATTGACACAATAACAGTCAATTGGTGAAGGGGAAAAGGAAAGGAAAAAAGAATATTATGACCACCGACAACTATCAACAAGGAGTAAAAATAAGGTAAAGTTGTTCCCGCATCCGATCCGGACATTGGGGATTGTCTTGTTAGTGAGACACCTTCCTGGGCCTTCGGAATATTGTGGTAGGGTGGCCAGTTTCTTTCCACGTCGCCTTTACTTCCCCAACTCGCAGTCAGGTACCCATTACTACTGGGTGGGCAGGAGGGGGCGAAAAAAATGCTTGTCTGAACCGAGGCTCGAACCCTGACTTTCCGCTTCGGAGACGAGCACACTAACCGCTCGCCACCGCACCCTCACCAAGGAGTATTCTAGCAAATACCTACCAAAAAGGAGTAACATGACCAACGACAACATAAAGGCCTAGCATGAATTCAGAAATGGAAAATCGTAAAGGAGCATCACAAGTACATACTTCATTCATGAATGAAGCCCCATACCTCTGTGACAAGTTGACTGAAAGGCCTAACATGACTAACGACTACATTAAGATGTAACATCACCAACAACAACATTAAGACAACATTTTTAAAGATTGGAATCAGGGATGGGGGTGCATGTGTTACCACCGTATTTTCTGTAAAATTGAAAGTTTTAAAAAAGTGTTAAAATCTTAACGCTTTCACCAAATTCATAATTATGGGCAGCCCTTAAAATTCGCGGCTTTCTCCCGTATATTTTCGTTTTTATTCATATTCATGGTGTTTTCCCAACCAGGAATTCGGAAAATGAAATTCCCAGCTATTTCCCATTTCCCCAGTTGAGTGGGAACCCTGTTATTGGCTGTCGGCTTGACTCTTGTAAAAACCACGGAAACTGACAGGACAGCGCATCATAAACTTTTGATGGATGTGAACAGCACATCCCTTCACAACATGCCTCCCACTACAGCGGATTGTTTCAAGTGTCCAACTAAATCTGTTGGGGGGAGGGGGGGGGGGTGTTTCCTCCCATATAATTCTCTCATTGGTCAAAGCCCCCCCCCCCCCCCCCCACACACACACACACACACACACAACATGAAAGCGCTGGAATTTTTCAACATGCTGCAAACTAAAATCTTGACCTTCCTCCTGGTTTTGGCCAACTAATGTTTTTTTAAAGTGAAAAGGGCCTAGTGGTACTGAACCACTACAAGAGTTCTGAGCACAGAGGGTGTGGAAGTTGAGCTTAGACAGCAGCACAGAATGTTGTGACATAAATCATCTGTATTTCTAACTTATACAATGTAAGGGAAAAAAATTATTACGTTGGAGAATTAAGCAAAACAGCAAATAAATTTTCAAAAATCACAAACGAGGGTGCCATGAATTTTGAAGACAAAAGAAAGAAAAAAGAAATGTAACCATTCCGCCAAATTCATAACGATGGGCGGCCCTTTTTGATTTCCCAGCTGTCTCCCAGTTAGCTTCATTTTCATTCATTTTCATAGCGTTTTTCCAATCGGGGAAATTTGAAAATGAAATTCCTGACCTTTTCTGGTTTTCACCGTTGGGTGGAAAACCTGATATCATGATTTTCAACAACATGAGGGGGTATTGCATATCCTTACTTCACTCAACGATGAAGCCCCTTTCCTCTGCTTCTCCTCCGCTGGTCCACCTGACTGTGCTGTTCTGCCCTTCTTTATCGGGACACTTTCCTCACTTTTCTTCCCTTTGGCCCCCCTCTCACTCTTTCTCTTCCCTGCACACGTTTCCTCTTTCTCTTTTCCTTTGTCCGTTAAGCTGTTGAGACGCCTTGATGGTTTTGTCCCCAAAAAGTCATTTTGCTTGTCAGTCAGACTCTCAGAAAAAGAAGGTTTTTTGGAACGGGTGGAAGGCTTTGTTGAACGAGTTGAAGGTTTCGTTGAACATATTGAAGGCTTTGTCGAACCCACAAGGTTGTCTGTCGGCGAGCTGACCGTCGTGCATGACGAAGATCTCGCAGAGTTTTGCGGGTGGTCCAGAAGAGAACTGTCAGCCACAGCCCGGCCTCGGGTCTTCATGGTAAAGCTCGGGACACTGTGTCTTGTTCTGCGTTTCATCCCCAGTCGCTGTTCAACACCAGATGAACCCCCCAATTTCCCCGTAAAAGCGACCACCTCGGTGACTTCCAAAGGACTCCCGGCAGTCACCGCATCTGACAGCAGCGCAGAGCTCCCACAAGACACACTTCCTTTCTCCACTCTTTTCAACGCTGAAAATAAAAAATGTTTAAATCTCAGAACCCAACATATAATCAAAATACAGTGGAATCCACTTAGGCCAAACACGGTTAATCCGAACACAGTACAGAGGTAAACCACAAGAAAATACAGTCCCCAATGTTTTGTCTTCTATTTGATCAACTTCTAGAAACTAGGGATGGGCAGGTACCAGTACCCAGTACCGGAACTCCCAGTTCTACCAAAAGAGGTGTCAGTACCGGCACCTGGCCTCCAGTACCGGCACCTGGGAAGGAGCCGACACCAACGGTTATACCGGCTCTGAGAAGGAGCCGACGCGACGGTTGTTTTTTTTTCTTCTTACCGGCCACGGGAAGTGTGCAGTGTGCAGGCCTAGGTCTAGCAGCTGGGGCATCAGATGCACAACGCAGCGGGTGACCTTGATACAGGACTTCAGATTCAAAATTGACAATGAAAAACGAAGTTTACTTAAATTTAAAATATGGCTTCAAATCAGGTTCTACGCGAGCCACTTTGCTTATTTTGATACGCTGATTCTGAAAATGAAACCAATTTTTTGCGGCGATAACTATTTTTTAAAATTCTGCTTGCAAAGTTTAATCCCATGCGGCAGCAAACTTCAAAGGTATTTTGCGTCACAGTTCGCCTCTCCAATTCTGACTGGTGTGTGTGTGGGGGGGGGGGATGCGGGCGGCGCTGATCGTGGCGTTAAACGCAAGACGCGAAGTCTGTGACACCTACTGGTGTCACTCTCAGTACCGGTACCGGAGCCTGTACTGGCGGTTCTCGGCACCAGCGAGAAAGTACCGACTCTGGATTTCGCCGGTACCGCCCACCACTACTAGAAACCAAAACTCAGCTAAACCAAAGAGAACCCGACAGTCCTGCACAATTAATAATAATAATAATAATGTAGATCATTTCTATAGCGCCCACTCTCGTGTGAACACAGCTCTACACGCTTTACATAAATGCATGTACGAACAATATTCACACACGCATACACACGCAAACAATCACACGCACACGCACACACACACACATCTACTTGCTTGTCACTCGCGCACGCTTACACATCGTTACAAAATGAGCACATACAAATACAAAATAAAATAATATACCAAAGCAATTCGCAAAATACATAAATGGATACATAGTCAAAATTTGGTTTAAGAAGACTCCACGGTGAATATTTACCTAACACGAATACTTCAAAAGCATTAGTTAATACATAGACAGCAAAACAACATACAAAACAATCATATCTTTACAAAGGGCGAGTTCCAGTGTGACTATACACACTATATATGTTGGGTTTTTTTTACAACTTTTCAGGCCGTAGGGCTAGAACTCAAATGGCCGCTGGATCGGAAAAGTAAGTTGTTTTTTTAGTTTTAGTAGAGGTTTTATTGCGCTCGCAATTGCATAAGGTCATATGAGAGCCAGAAGATTAGAGGTGTTTCAAGAGAGTAACAAACAAAAAAGAAGAAGGGGAGATAAGGACGATAGATTTTTTTATAGGAAAGAAGAAGCAAACCACACCAGAGAACCCGCCAACCACCCACCGGAAAAGTAAAGTAAGTTGGTAACTTTTACACACTCGCAACTAAAACACATGTCAGTACGTAGGTATGTAGGCAGACAGGTAGGTAAGTACCCATGTGGTTGGGTAGGTAGGTAGGTAGGTGGGAGGGAAGGTAGGTAGGTAGGCAGGTAGGTATATATACATGTATGCCATGGTAAACAAAATGTTCTCTTTGAAATCAGTAACTTATCTATTTTACTTTATCTTATTCATCATTTTCAGAAGCGAACCTTGAGGCTTGTGGCAGTTGTTTGTATCTGAGGTCAGCTCCTCGTGAGACGGTTTCTCCGCCCCGGGGTCACACAGCTCCTCCTCCACCCTCTCCTCTTCCTCACTGATGCTTGCGATGCTGAGGAACACAACACGTGGTTCAACCGGTCAGGTAAGTGTTTTGTGGTAAGGCCATGGGTGTGAAAGTATTACATATTTGTAAAAATTGTTTGCATAAGGTAATTCATGAGCTGACATCAGGCATATGTTTGAAAAAGGCGATGGGTATATATATATATATAATATATTTTTAGTTTTAGTAAGGTTTTACGGCGCTCGCAACTGCATAAGGTCATATAATATGAGTGCCAAGGGGTGGATGTCAACAGAGAAGTCTTTACAGGGAATCGGGCTTACTCTGCTCACCTCTCTAGCTTCAACAGCACAAAGTCCGCTTCGACTATTAAAGGCACCCCGGAAATAGTGGGTCACAAGAGAGTCACAAACATAGAAAAGAAGTAGAGTAAAATTGATGATAGTAAGGATGAGGAAAGAAAAAGCAGCAGTTCCCTGTTGCATTTCCGGCACACTTATGAACATGACATCGATGCATCAGCCCATTAACAATTCTACTGAACATAAGAACATGTTAATGTCCCCCTTTTTGAGAATGGCCTAAAGACACTTCAGTCAGTAGCACCGCCCCCGGGTGTGTGTGAGTGTGTGTGCCTGTGTGTGTGCGCGTGTGTGTGTGCGTACATGCGTGTGTGTGCGTATGAGCATGCGTGTGTGTGTGTATGCGTGCATGTGTCTGTGTGCGTGTGTGTGTGTGTGCGCGTATGAGACTGCGTCTGTGTGTGTGTGCTCGTATGTGTGAGTGTGTGAAAGCAGGCGTGTGTGTTTACGTCACGCATGTGTGTGTGCTCGTAAGGACATAATGTGAACGTGCATCTCGTAAAGACTGAGCTGGGGCCCCACCTGCTACAGCTGGAGAAGAGCGTGGAGTGCAGAGAACCCTGGGAGGTGTCGAGCCCCGAACGCCCCCGTCTCTTCATGGACTGTATAAGGCCGTGTAGACTGGTGTTACCCCGCCAACCAAGGCCGCTAGCCAGGGAAGACGTCTCAGACACGCTGCAGTCCTGCGGACACAAATATCCCCTATTGGCATTGTTATATATATATATATTTATGTGTGTGTGTTTTGCGCCTATAACGAAAAAAATTAAGATAATTTGGAGAGCGGGCTGCTTGAACCCTGCCTGAGTGGTATACAGTTAGAGTGGCGTCGGTGGCCTAGTGGTTAGGCTCTCGGACTCGCAACCGTAAGGTCGTGGGTTCGAATCCCGTCAGGGGCCCGACGTTGTGTCCTTGGGAAAGGCACTTTACACGAATTTTCCTCACTTCACCCAGGTGGGAATGGGTACCCGGCTATAGACAGCGAAAGATCTTGTCAGTTTGTTAGTGTTTGAGCGCTTAATCGGCTGCTCGCACTGTATGCTTCCCGGGAAGCTGAGAATGTTTCGGAGTGTTCTATGGTCTGCTGGGGTAATAATATAATGTAAAGCGCATAGAGCCTGCTGTTGAGCGGGGATATGCGCTATACAAATGCTATCTATTATTATTATTATTATAACACGGATTATAACTCTTGATTCGTCGGCACCAACCTCGGTAGTTCGACCTATTGGTGTAACGTTGCATAATACACAGGCCGCTAGTCCAGGAGGACATCTATGTCATACACAGCAGTTGTGAGAGAGAGGGAGAGGGAGGAAGAGAGGGAGGGAGGGAGGGAAAAGGAGGGAGGGAGACAGGGAGAGGGAGGGAGAGAGGGTGGGAGAGATGGAGAGAGAGAGAAAGAGAGAGAGAGAGAGAGAGAGAGAGAGAGAGAGAGAGAGAGAGAGAGAGAAAGAGAGAGAGGAGGGGGGAGAGAGAGAGAGAGGGAGAGAGAGAGGAGGGGGGAGAGAGAGAAACACCACAAAGATAAGAAAATATTACATGACAAAGAAAGAATTTAATTCTGCACTTGTAAGCTGTAAAATCTACAAGTATTCACAGTCCTCTCGCACCCACTCACCCAGTCTGAGGCATTATTGTCAGACACAGATCTCATCATGATTCGGTAGATTACTGTCTACAATGCCAAACGTTCCATCGGCAACTTGGGAGATTTATTTTTCTTAAAAGGTTCTCCGGGCTTTCACTTTCTCCATAAGATTCTAGCAGCCTGATGACATCAGCTGTGAGGTTTGTGTCGAGGGACCACTGGAATACAGAGAAAGACAAAAATATGCTTTTCACTATACAGCTAGTATTACATAACATAACAAATATGTGTCACGACGTGGTGGAATCAGGCGCTCGTCAATTTTGGGGCATATATGAAGTTATTGTTATCACTTTAAGGCCTGTCCATTTGCCTTGTTTTCAATTTTTAAAATACCCATTTATCTTGGATATAAGTCGAGATATGGCCATTTGAAGGAGGTGGGGTCACCTGGTTTCAGATATATAATTAGCTAGAAAATGGCTGCCAAAGTTTAGTCATTTCCATAGCTTGAGAGTCAGTGAAATTTAAAATTTACCTTTTGTATGCCTTTATTCAACACTTTTCAGTAAAATCCCCACACAAATAGGTTCTTTAATGGGCATGAAAGATGTTGAGCCAAAAAACAAAAATTCTATTAAAATTTTCACAAACCTGAGGAAAAATGCCAGTTTCTTCACTTTGATTAATTTGATGAGCGCCTGATTTCACCACGCTGCCTCACATATCAAATATCATCCATACAACAGTACATCAGCTTCATCGTTACAGCCGCTAGACAAAATATTAAATTAACTGTTTATTAACACCACCACTTCAGCTGTAATTATGTTATATAATATATATATGTCCCCCCCCACCCAAAACTGTAAGATTATTCAAGCGGTGGGACCTCTGAATGTAGTAAGAACCCAATCTTGGGGAGAACAAAAGCACTCTTCAGACAGGCCAGCTTCTACCAATTATAGCTACCTGGTTTTACCCCTCCCACCCAAAGCTTTAGTATTATATAATTTGTTGAATTTGAAGTATATGACCTTTGAGTGCGAGGGAGGAACAGACGCCTGAACCAATCAAAAACCACTTAACAACTGAGCCACTTCATGAAGAGAGAAAATGTGTGTCTAAACATATATATATATATGCATACTGAGTGAAGCTTTTGGCTTGCCATCTGCTAGTTGACCCATATTCCCTCCATCTCATTTCTGTTTTTTGGCTCAACATCTTTCATGCCCATTTAACTCTTTCCTGATGTATCGCCCATAGAACGGCGCCAGTCCACACCCCTTGCAGACGTATCACCGATATATCGGAAATGATGGGGTGCCTCAGTTTTGTTTTGTTTTAACACAATCCATCATTTATAAGTACTTTATCATCATTCAAAACTTGGAAAGGGTTTGGAAAACAAAACATCTAGAGCAGCTAGCATCTGTGTTTGTCGCAGCCGCCATTTTGGGCATTTTTTGGTCCACAAATCGCAGCTGCAATTTTTGTATTTTCCTAAAAGAAAAGGCTACTTCATAACATAGACGTGTATTTTGATCATTTTAAAGTGTCCATAGGCCAAGGAGGTTATACAGTAATGGAGGCTGCTTGGCAACGCACGCCTGACAGAAGCCCTCTCTCGCAGCGGAACTATATATGGTCAACCTGTGCTGCGCGCTGCCTGACTCTGACACTGAAATCTAGATAGGAAAGAGGGTTTTATTCTGAGGACCTTCCTAAAAAATTAGGATCAATTATTGTACAAGAGGTACAAAAAGCCAGAAAACATAACGCGTACAAAATATGTATTCAAAATAATGTCAATAAATACAATTATTACAAATATATACAAAAAATTCCCAAAAAAGACAGATATTACATGGATATATTGAATTTTAACAATCAACATTATACTACTGCATGGTAGGATTTGTCCTGACGAGTAACAGAAAGTTTTGAAAACTAAACAGTAAACACTGAAGTATTTAAACAAAATCTGAAAATTCATCTGATGAATCGTAATCGTGTGTAGGTCTTACTTTCTTGACAATAGATGTTGTTGTTTTTTCTGCCTGTTTTCGTTTTCTTCAACCAGGTTTTTTCCCTTTGTGTTTGGGTTCTGCCGCAACTTTCTGTGAGTTGGTGGGGGGGGGTTTTTTCAGGAATGCGTCTTTGCTATAAAAGGAACTTGTGAATTTGCTGAAGTGTCTCTTGTTATATAAATTGCTCGTGGGTATCCCCTGTATCTCCGGGTACCCGCCCATTTCTCTGTCACGTCACGCCATTTGGAAATGCTATCCTCGACCGGTCCAGAAATACTGAGATTCTAGCATCAGGTCTACCCTGAGCCAAGAGGGTGCTGAAACTTTCCGAAATCACAAAAGAGTTCCCCTACCGGGTCTGTATACTTTGTGACTTTGTTCTCAGTTACCGGGTCTGTATACACTATACACTCCCTTCTAGATCTAGATCTAGCATAGATCTAGCCTAATCTTTGACTCTAGGCTGCCTTCTGATATTAAAATGATGATTTCATCCAAAGGTACAAAGGTGATTTCGAGTGATTCCTAGTGTTTTCGAGTGTTTCCTAGTGTTTCCTAGTGTTTTCGAGAAAAATAAACAGCGGGTGAGACGGTGATCTTATACTTAAGCACGTTAAATTCCCAAAGTCTACTAATCCCCGACTCAGACCTTCAAAACTTTGAACTGGGCCTAAAAATGCGCAAACTACCCTAATTTGTCATGAACAGATGGTATAACAGTGCTTTTCGGTCTTCCATTGTGATTTTGGAAGCCATTGAGTATAATCTTGATTAGATAGATCATGTTTTAAAGTGGTCGCTCGTTATGGAAAAGGGAATAAAATCAATTGAAGAATTTAACGGGCTAAAGTATAAGAGCACCGGTGAGACTGGGTGAGACTAGGTGAGACTAGGTGCCCGGTTACTGTGTACGTACAGTGTAGAGATACTGAGACTAGGTGCCCGGTTACTGTGTACGTAGACACTCCGCAAGGACAAAGTTACCCGCCCAAGAATACCAACACCATTTGGAATTTCATTTCAAGATTGCAGTACTACAGGCACATTCGACCTACGACTACATTTAGATCTAGATCTAGAGACATCCGCCCTTGGCGCGACCGTGCCCTGAGCGCGACCAGTTCCCCATTTTTCCTTCTGTGCAGCTCGTGTGCAATCTGTTTTATTAGAGTTACGTGCCTTGTCTCGTTCCATTTTTGTCAATCCTTTTCCGAGAACGTCAGTCTTCTGCTAGTGCAGCAGTTGAGTTCGAAGTGTGAAAGGCTTATCAGAAACATTCTTAGAGAAGTTTTCTTCAGTTACTAAACTAGAGTAGCCGGCCCCACCCGCGACCACTTGTCTCTGTACCCTCTGTTATTAATAAAGATAATTGTTTTCATCATAATTTGCTAAAGAAATGATTTTACTAACCTTTAAATAGTGTACTAACAACTTTCTTGCACCTGTTATATATTGTGTGCGCATGGTCGCGCCCTGTTCCGTATGCGGTCGCGCTGAGGGCATGCGGTCGCGACAAGGGCAGAGCATTTTAAATAAAACATGTTAAAATGCTAAATCTGCGAATGACGTTTTGGAATGAGTGACGATATCACAGTATAAACCGGAAGTTGACACATTGATTTCACTGAAGCGGCCCTGAACATGGATTACCTGACCTATTTTGCTGACAGAGACCGCTGACAAGCAAAATACGACAAGTGGTCGCGGGTTGGAAGTGGACGTGTCAAGCGCCTTTTGAAGATCAGCGCGATCTTAAGATGGCGCAGAACCATAAGACGATCCGCAGAAAGCCCGGCCATCTACGGATTAGAGAATAGAGAGCTGCGCGATCTTAAGATTGTGCAATGCAAGCAAGAATTGCGCCATCTGCCGATCGCTTGGAAACACACACACACACACAAACACATATATTACTATATATACACACATAGAGGCGAGAATGGCAAAGAAAGAGAGAGAGAGGGGGAGGAAGAGAGAGAGAGAGAGAGAGAGAGAGAGAGAGAGAGAGAGAGAGAGAGAGAGAGAGAGAGAGAGAGAGAGAGGGAGAGAGAGGGAGAGAGAGAGTGGGAAAGAGAGAGAGAGGGAGAGAGAGGATTTTATACCCAAGAAAAGTCACTTCACACCACACACGCACACGCTAAAACAACATACACACACACGTACCCGCACACACACACACTACACACACACACAAACAAACAAATGATTTTGCAATTCTCTGCGGAGTTTTGTTTGGGCCACCTCTATTCTCACCCGGAGTGAGAATAGTGCAGGCGAGTCTTTTGTGGCTATTCTCACCCGGTGCGCGTTCACCAAATTTTGCGTCAACCCTAAACCACAGAATTCTACACTGTGATAACAGAAAAATTGTAGGAGTGGCTATTCTCACCCGCCCGGAAGTTCTCGCAAGATCTACTCCTCCCCTCTTCTCTCTCTCTCTGTTTCTTTCTGAATACTGTCTATCGGTGTCGACGATCAAATTGACCAAAACAAAGTTAAAAAATGATGTTAAAACACAAAAGTAAATTAATTTGGTTGTCTACAAAGATGCTACGGCTATTTAACTTTTCGAATCGAGCCGAACTACGCGGGTCGCCATTTTGTTTTGCCCGGAAATTCTCGCGCTACTCCTCTCTCTCTTTCTCTCTCTCTCTCCACTGCCCACAGACAAAATTGTACGCTTTTAGTAGGCTACAAGTACAGTTGTAATGGAACGTTTGTTCACAGCACAGAATTCTACAATTTTTCTCTTATCACAGTGTAGAATTCTGTGGTTTAGGGTGAACGCAAAATTTGTTGACACGCGCACCGGGTGAGAATAGCCACAAGACCCGCCTGCACTATTCTCACCCCGGGTGAGAATAGAGGTGGCCAAATTGTAGAATTCTGTGCCGTGAACAAACGTTCCATTACAACTGTAGCCTACTAAAAGCGTACAATTTTGTCTGTGGGCAGTGGAGAGAGAGAGAGTGAAAGAGAGAGAACAAAACAAAATGGCGACCCGCGTAGTTCGGCTCGATTCGAAAAGTTAAATAGCCGTAGCATCTTTGTAGACAACCAAATTAATTTACTTTTGTGTTTTAACATCATTTTTTAACTTTGTTTTGGTCAATTTGATCGTCCACACCGATAGACAGTATTCAGAAAGAGACAGAGAGAGAGAGAAGAGGGGAGGAGTTGATCTTGCGAGAACTTCCGGGCGGGTGAGAATAGCCACTTTCTTTGTTTGTGAACTTTGCAAAATCATTTGTTTGTATGTGATGGCGCGTCCCGCCCATCTCGAGAGGGCCGCACTTTCTGCGGATCGTCATATGGTTCTGCGCCATCTTAAGTCTTAAGATCGGGCTGATCGTCAAATGGCGCTTGACAGACACACACCAAAAATTCGGGAGGACTTCCGTAACGAGCGACCACTTTAAAGACAGAGCAGAATTGAGGGCTAGGGGTAGGGGTAGATCTAAATCTAGGGGTAGGGGTAGGGGTAGGGGTAGGGGTAGGGGTAGGGGTAGGGGTAGGGGTAGGGTTTGAGTTTGGGTTAGGGTTAGAAGTTAGGCGGGTTAGGAAACCGTTAAAGTTAAGTTAGGGTTAGGGCAAAGTTAGGGTTAGGCCTTTTCTTTATTGTGTTTGATGGGGTGGTCGCTCGTTACGGAAGTCTTTCCAAAAATTCTGATCCCACAAATTTCGAAACGGACCTCAACATTGACTTTGACGAAACAATCAAACATCCAAAGCGATCGCACAAGTCACCAGGCACCAGCATCACGAATCACAGTCACAGACCATCTTACCTTACCTCGGACTCGGATCAAGAATCTACACTTCATCCAGAGCCTCAAAAGTAAGTCCCAGTTATATAAAACATACCTAGATAACAGCAACATCGTGCCGAGTCAATAAAGATCCCAGTCTGTTACACCAGCCATCCAGTGATTTTAAAAATAAAATAAAAACAATTCCGCGACAAGATTTCCTACGTCGTTCAAACTTTAGTAAGTTCGCCGCGATTGTCAACTTCCGGCCTGCAAACTTTGATGCCTTTCCGCTTTGTTAACTTTTATTATGGACCCAAAAATGTATGGTCTTTGAAGTAATTTTTGGAGGGGGATGGGACACTAACCTATAGTTTTAGGTCAGTGGGGTGGAAGGGGTGATGAATACATGTACATATCTGGTAGAATGGAGATAAACGTGATTGGGATTGTGCGTGCATTTGTGTCAGGGGGGAGGGGGTGGAAAGGGAAGAGAAGGGATTGGCGTCTATGTCCGTGTGTGTGTGTGCGTGCGTGTATGTGTGTGTGTGTGTGTGTGTGTGTGTGTGTGTATGTGTGAGTGTGTTTGTTGTTTGTGTGAACTGTGTCTGTGGGTGTTAATGTATCAGTGTGTGTGTGGGGGGGGGTGACTAGTATGAGTGTATGTGGCAAGCAAAATTAAGTCTTACGATCTGGTAGACCAAGTGGCAAAAGTTACCATCTTGCACAATCATTCTGATCTTCCAAATTATCAAAGTAAATGCATGTTATGTTCGATTTTCAAGGTCACGACGATCAACTCCATTTAATGAAATTCGCAGCCAGCAGCCAACTACATGTATACACGCGTCACATAGTCACATGGCATTGCAGGGTCAGATCTGTTGCTTGTACGCGGAGTGCGATCGGTCCATAGATGTGTGCTACCGCAGGAGATAACTCTATGGATCGGTCCATAGATGTACACTACCAGGAGATAACTCTATGGATCGGTCCATAGATGTACACTACTGCAGGAGATAACTCAATGGATCGGTCCATAAATGTACACTACTGCAGGAGATAACTCTATGGATCGGTCCAACTGCGGTCAAAAATTCGTGGCGCAACTTATCCTCAAATATCTCTTAACGTCAATGTCATCCATACTCTGTACCGCAGTTTGTATCAATTAGTCTTATAACTTAATCATAATTTTCCACAACAATTGAGACTAGATTAAAAACTCTTCTTCATAATTTTAAAAAAATATAAAATACTATGAATATCTCCGTCACGCAGAAAATGGGATTGTTCATTAGCACTTATTCCCGCTTATCACACACTTTTCTCATAAGGGCCTACTTCACACCTCGTCAATGACACTTTATAGTGGCAAAACGTGTTACAAGATAGATCCCTTTTATCGTGAACTCATTTTTTTCACTAGCAAAGGTTCTCCAAAAATGCGTTCAATAGTGTCACGATAAGAAAACAATGACAGACTTTTAAAAAGCGATATTGGCCCAGCTGTAGACCTTTTAAAATCTGTAGAAATCACCCACTAGGATATTGTAAAGTATTTATAAAGGAAATTTCTAGAATACAAAAGGTGTTTACCAAAATATTGATCTGGTGGCCTTCGACTGAGTCAAATTTGATGAAGCAAAGCAGAGGTCTATTTGTAATGGTATGCACTGGCCATTTCTCGACCTGACCCGATTCAATTTGATTTTTCAATGCAATGGCAGTCGACCGTTCTTCCCCATCTGTCCTCAGAGGAAGTCTAGCACTGGATCCCCTTCCAGACACAACGTCGCGTGTGTGTCTATCGAAACGCATACACTATATTACGCTAGCCTCAGGCGCAGTTCGTCAATAGAGCACAATTATTACATAATGGGTGTTCAGTTCCAATACAAGATGAACGAAATTGATTTTTAGCTAACAAACAAATTTAAGTACTAGAAATCAAAGCAACAAGTAAAAAGGATGAAAATAAAAGCACGAGGTCCTCCCTCACGAACCCAAAGATCCTAAAAATTACACACCGTCTAATTTATTATGCCCTTGACTATCTTCAGCATGCGATTGCTTAATCGTGCACGTCCACTTTTTAGCCCCACGAGCCGCCTATGGCTACCCTGCAATATGCCCTAGGCCAATACAATTACTGTACATTTCGTATGTCATCCGTAGTTCAACTTCGTTGAGAATCCCAAAATCACGGGACATAATAACACAATCTTGTCCAGTATTTTTTATTTTTAATTTTTAGTATAATGTAGTAAAAATGGCGGCAACAGGAGTGATCAGTAACTCTATCGACCACCGCACACCCGCAGATGTGTGTGTGTGTGTGTGTGTGTGTGTGTGTGAGAGAGAGAGAGAGAGAGAGAGAGAGAGAGAGAGAGAGAGATGTGCATGTGTTCTCAGGCGGCAAAACTAGCAACACATGGGCATATTATGTAGCCTACGAAAAGTTCATGTACTGACATAACATGAGTAGATTATTGTATTCTCCTTAGCACGGTAAAACTCACTTTTTGCCAATTTCTGTTATCTCACAATGCACACAAAAATATGTCCGTTGTAAACGAACTTCAGACCACTAAAATCCCTTTAAAAATGAACGCCATAACGAAAAGTTATGGTTTACACCGGTTAGTTTTAGGCGTATATAATAATATGATCTCTATTAAAAAGAATGAAAATACTAACTGGGACTCGGGACTTCAGAGGGTAAACGGCCGAGAGCATATTATTATAAATATTATTATTTGCCCAGGTTTTACTGCATTATACCGGGTGCCCATTAGCACGATCGGGTCGAGTCGGTTTGCTAGCCAGATTGAGGGCGCAAAGTGATCGCCCGACGAATCGACCCACCCCGACCCGATCCCATCCGCCATCCGCAATGGGCACCGCCGGTGCACCGTGCCCTTCGGCCTCGAGAATGAGATGTTTGGGGGTGGGAGGGGGGGGGGGGGGGGTTCTTTTCTTCACTCTTGGGTGGAAGCAGTGTCAGGTAGGGCTGGGCAATGAGTCGTTTTAGCAAAATCCGGATAATAAATTCGTGCACCTCTTCGATGAATAATATTATATTATGAACCGATTCGGCAAATGGGTTAGAGCCACTTTGACAAACGGGTTAGCATAACTTTAACAAATGGGTGCTCCCACTTCGGCAAACGGGTCAGGGAAAAGAGTTAAGAGTCTGAATTCAGATACTGTGTTATTGAAGATTGTCCGAATATCCGGATATTTATCCGGATTTTGCCCACCTCAAGTGCCAGGCTTGATTATAAAACTGCATTGCGATGGATGTTACTCACTACTCACACCCTAGGCCCACAGAAGCGGTCTCTGGTTTCACTGAAGGCTTCCCCACAGATAATCTGCCTTTTGATGTTAGATCAAACAACGAAGCACTACGGAGCAGCAACCGATATCTGCATCGGAGTCAAGGAGCTTAATACGGGGTGCCCACTACGGATGGGATCGGCTGGTCGGGCCGATCGCCCGACTCGATCGCCTCAAACAAACGTGTTTGTTTTCAGTTTCAGGCACAGAATTCTAAGTGTAGAATTCTGTGGTTTCAGGTGATCGGCCCGATCCAGCTGTAGTGGGCACCCCGCATAAAACTACTGTAACCTCCTTGCACGGAGTACATGTATTGTAGTTACTATTGCTTTAAGAATTTTATAGACTCGATAATAATATGAAGTATTGAACTGAAGACAGTTTTAGCCCCACGGGAGGTATGAAACATGTATTATAATTATAATTATCGACAACATGAAGCGTGAACGCTTATTAAACACGACAAGCAACCACTCATCAGGCGCACGTCGTGCTTTGTTTGAGGCAATGTATGTTAGCTACATAGTAAAGGAAGAAGTTAACGATATAAAAAGTGGCATTTCGGGTGTAGCCTATGGGTGTAGCACAATATAACCTCCAATGAATGAGAAGGAGAATTTAATGAGGCTCGAGATTTCGGGTCCTTCTATCTATCTATCTATCTATCTATCTATCTATCTATCTATCTATGTACTCAGATTCTGAAATTTGAATACATGTAGGTATCGATACTATCATGAGGCGGTCACGGAAGCGGGGTAAATTTCGGTAGGCCGGCTTCTCCCCGGGTCAAGAGCGCAGTCGCCAAACCCTGCGCGAATTTAAGAGACACAAACACACACACTTACACACACAGACACATCACAAATACACACACACACACACACTCATACACACACACACACACACACACACACACACACACACACAAAAGACAGTACTCGAGATCCCCTCAAATATGGGTGAGTGGATCAGTAGTGGTGATCGGCTCTATAATATGACCAGAGACCTAACAATGTATCATTGGTATCAAAACTGCTGCGAAACATTTAACGCGACATTTAACGCGATACCGGTAGTGCTAGCACACACAAAAAAGGAAGAAAAAAGATCAATTCAACCATTGCAAATTTGCAGCCGGGACTAAAAACGCACTTCAGCTCAAGCGCTTTTGCGTTTGAGTTGAACTCAACATAACCGTTCGATTTTTTAAACAAATGTAAATAAGAGAAGAAGTGTTGGGACTCGAGAAAAAGACCCATCGTAACCGAAGATCAACTCAAGCGAGTGCAACACAAACAAATGGTGTGAATTACAAAAGTTCTGGCACACCCACCTTCACAGTACAATAACTTATTTGCTATTCAATAAAGTGGAACGAAATTCTGCACATGTGATTTTTATCCAAATTCTGTCAACGTAATACATGTATGAAAAAAAAATGGCCTGTGGCTGTTTAATTCCCAAGGGGGGGGGGGGGGGGGGGCAGCTGACCGTCGCAAAATCTGAATCAAAGTTTGCTCAGTATTGCAAGCGGCCGCCTTTGGCTTTATACAGGTTACAACCTATACTATACGTTTTTATTCTACTCTGAGAGTCTAGGTCACACTGATTGTTCATTGACTGAATTAATGTCGCTTGATGCTGCCTGTAGAATGCTCTGCCGCTCCTGGTGACGTGGAGCCTCCATTTCTTGGCTAGTTTGCACAGCGGTCAAGGTCACCCCACAGACGTTCCATTGGGTTTTAAAGGTCTGGTGAACTTGAGAGCCATCCAGAACATTTATTGATGTGATTAGAAGTTAAAAAGATTATTTATGGCTTGTCTGGGAGATGGGGATGAAGAAATTCGTCACATTACTGTTAGTGAGGCATCGTGGTGAGATAAGGCGCTCGTCAACATAAGGAAATTAAAGAAATTGGCATTCTTCTGGTTGTTGGACATTTTTATTTTTTATTTTCTCCCCCCCCCCCCCCCCCCCGGCTCAAAACCTTTTATATCTGTTTAAAAACACATTTCTATGTCGAAAAACATTGATTAAAGGCACAAAAACTGTAAATTTTCAGTTTCCAAGGACTCTCAGGCTATGGGAATTTCTAAGCTTTGGCGGCCATTTTCTCGATAATTTTACCTCTGAAACCAAGCGACCTTGACCTCTTTCAATCGCAAATATGCCGACTTCTATTCAAAATAGATGGACATTTTTTTCACCTAAAGCAAGGCAAATGAAAATTCTGTAAGATGATTTCAATAATTCCATATGCCCAAAAACTGACGAGCGCCTGATTCCACCACATCATGACCCCTGTCATCCTGTGAAGTTGCCTTGAAAGTAGACCAATTGTGTGCGATGACGAGCAGAAATTCCATTCATAGGCCTACCATCACACTTCCGTCACCGAATACATCGTTCCACTTGGTGGATGCTGGCCATCTCTGTACTCTTTATCTAGGCTAAATAACCAGAACTAATTTGTACCGTAAAGTCTTTGGCTCCTTCAAAAATGATGTTGCGCCGAATTTTGCGATTTCTTGTACGAAACCGGGAGAATGACTCCATGTAAAGGGCTATTAAGCCCTTAATCCTCGGGTGCCCATTGAGGATCAGGTCGGTCGGGTGCCATTTACGGCTGGACCGGGCCGATCGCCCGACTCGGTGGCCTGGAACTGAAAACAAATACGTTTGTGCGACCGAGTTGGGCGATCGGCCCAATCGGCCAGTCCCATGGGCATGTTATTGAGGCGACGAGTCGGGTAGTCGGTTTGTGCCACGATAGCCGCTTTCCGCCCTCAACCTGTCTTGCAAACTGACCCGACCCAATCCCCCAATGGGCACCTTAAGTGCTAGTCCAAAGTTCCTACACAGTTTCTGCTCTTGGTTGTGAGCAAAGTGGTTTAGAACGTGGGTGTTGATAATAACCTAGGAGGTTACAGCTTTTAATAAGCTCCTTGATAATAATCCAGCCCAAGCGTCAAGTTGACGCCCTTCGACGACTACGGCGGGTCTTGGCCTTGGCCCGTTTTGGACAGCTGGCTAGTTCATCTCGAGGTCACAGGTAGAGATAAATGATATTGCAATAGCAAGAACTGCGCATTTATAATTATGATAATAGCTTTTATATTACATTGCACATATCCACACTCTACAGCATGCTCAATATGTGCTTTACAACTATGTACTATATTATTATTATTATTACTAGTAAAAGTACTCGTTCTACGAACGGAATAATAATGAAGAAGTATTAGGAAAGTTAAGAAAAGGAAAAAGACTGAAAACAGGAACCACCTCTTCGAAAATCACTTTTTTTAAAAAGAGTTAGGCCTACATGCAAATTGTTGCTTCCTAGTAGAACCTAATCTAGATTCTAGATCTAGCCTTGTATATCGAAAGATTATAAAGACATCGGCCAGTAATTGGAAGAAGGAGCCTTGGCCCATAGATAGATCTAAGTTTAGAAATTCACATTTTTAACAACCGACAGGCGTCACAGATAGCTTAGATTTCTTGATATATTCACTGCAGGAAAAATCCACTTTCAAGAATACTTTCATGATTCTTGATCTCGATCTAGATTCACCGACAGCCTATAGTTCTAGACTCTAGATCTATTCACAGCAGAAAAAAAATCCACGTTCAATACTTTCATCATTCTTGATCTCGATCTAAGATTCAAATATCTCTCTCTCTCTCTCTCTCTCTCTCTCTCTCTCTCTCTCTCTCTCTCTCTCTCTCTCTCTCTCTCTCTCTCTCCCGCACCGACGACTGTGATGTAGCTGTTAGGCAGAAGATGTGGGTTTGAATCCCAAATGAGAAGGGGGTTTTTTCCAGCAGCGGAAGTGTGTAGTCCGTTTGTCCTGGCAATAGGTTGGATGCAGACCGACTCTCTCTCTCTCTCTCTCTCTCTCTCTCTCTCTGCCTTTCTCTCTCCTTGTCTGTCTCTCTCTGTCTCTGTCTTTCTCTCTCGATCTCCCTCCCGCTCTCTCTCTATCTGTCTCTCTCTCTGTCTCTCTCTTTCTCTCTGTCTCT